AGAAAGTATTTTAGAGTACTTTTCTTGAGAAAAATAAAAACAATTGTCTTCTCGTTTACCCGCAATTAATGCATTTAACTTTTCAAGAAAAAGATCACGATTTACTGCAGTATCCATTCAGTATAAATTATGGTATTGGAAAAAAAAAATTAAGAAAACGTTGCTCGCATCATCAAAGCTTGCATAAGATTGACAAAGCTGACTGACTCCCAGCAGAACACAGGATTTGGCGGGAGATAGTCAGTCGCTTCTTTGTCGGCTCCTCTCTTTTGGACCTCCACCAGAGCATATCTGTGATTGTCGACATACACCGGTGAAGGTCCGAATGTACAAGAATGTAATAAAATATTCGATCTTTCACCGACGTATTTGATATGTGTTGACATTCACCGGTGAAAGTCGACATTCTCCAATTTCGATCTTTCACGGTAACATATACATCTTTTAAAATGTGTCATAATTTGTATTGATAATTTATTGTCACTCAATTTGAAAAACAGAAGACAATCTCTAAAAAGAATATTAATAAACAGTATTTTTTCTCAAATGCAATTTAAATTTTTAAATTGTTAAAATTTACATTGATTTACAATTTACAATGATATGTAAATTTAAGTTTTGTCAAACACAATTTTCACAAAATTAAATTCAAATTAAACAAGTTTAATATTCTATAAATGAAACACCCTGTAGCATACTGCCTGTAGCAAAATACTCGATACTTCTCAAAATAAGGTAAAAATATAAAATATGAAAGAGTAATTCTGTCACACAAAATATAAGAATCTACCACGTATAAAATATACAAAATATAATAAATAATAAATAGTATTCCGAATGAAACTTTCGTGTATGTTCAAAATTTGAAGAAATAAGGGGACTGTCAGTTATTGAAACGGACACCCTGTATATAAATAAGATGTCTAATAGTAGCTCGACTCGTGGGCATTTTATCGAGTAGCCCTTAATTTATTTCTCTTTCGATACCTACGAGAAACGGGCTATTACCTGCAGGTCCTGTTTCGCCGCTTCTGCACCGGCCCTCGTGTGAAAAGTCACGAACCCCACCGGCTGAAATCAAACCAAATAGAATCGTGAATGACATCCTGAGTGACTTGCTTACTTCTTCATGATTAATCACAATTTTTAATGTACGACAAATAGATGCGGGAAATAGATTACTATTGTTAATGTACAATACAATGGTAGGCACTGTGGAACAACTACCCCTATATGAGTCAATTTTTATTTAATTCTTTGTCAAATTCCTGTATCTATTTTCCTTTTGTACTTTTGTTCTTATTTACATCATTTTTATTTTGTTGCATGATTTCTTAATTTTGAAAAGATTACATATTTAAACACTTGCAGCAATAATAATAAATCGCGCTCATAAAGGGGAAGCTTCAAAAAATATGACCATACTTTTTTTAAATTTAAACTTCTCCCAAGTTTCCAATTTCTCAAGTTTCCAATTCCGCAAGTTTCCAATTCCGCAAGTTTCCAATTTCCCAAGTTTCCAATTTTCAAAATTTCCAATTTCCCAAGTTTCCCATTTCCCAAGTTTCCTATTTCTCAAGTTTCCAATTTCCCAAGTTTCCAATTTTCAAAATTTCCAATTTCCCAAGTTTCCCATTTCCCAAGTTTCCTATTTCTCAAGTTTCCAATTTCCCAAGTTTCCAATTTTCAAAATTTCCAATTTCCCAAGTTTCCAATTTCTCAAGTTTCCAATTCCGCAAGTTTCCAATTCCTCAAGTCTCCAATTTCCCAAGTTTCCAATTTTCAAAATTTCCAATTTCCCAAATTCCCAATTTTTAAAATTTCCAATTTCCCAAGTTTCCCATTTCCCAATTCTTTTCATTTTTCAGTACGTTTTCCTGTTCACCATTAAAACCAAATACCCCGCGATTTTTCTACCTTGTAGTGACGTCAGTTTTCGAGTCTCCATCCTTCTGAAGGACTCATTTTAAAGGGGAAGCTTCAAAGAATAAGACCATATTTTTTTTAAATTTAAACCCTTTACGCCCCCCATTGAAAAAAACGCAAAAAAAGAATTTGTTTAAATTTTGCAACATTTCATAACAAATTGAAGGAATTAAAAAAAATATTTTAAAATAGCCCAGTCCTTTATGAATAAAACAAAAAAAATTTAGCTAAATCGGTTGAATAGTTTCTGAGAAAAAAATTCGTAAGGAAAGCCCATTTTCGCAAAAATGGGCAAAAATTGCCAACTTTGAAGGTTTGTTATACCTTAACAAATTCGGAATCGGCAAAATGATGACTTCAACCCCTCCTCATTTCACATGGACTACAACATATTTTGGTTGGAGCAAAATTGCAGATGGTGACGTCCAAAAGTGATCGAGGTGAGGTCCAAAAGTGATCGCTTTGGAATGATAGTATACGAAATAATGTTATTAAAGAAATATTTTTTAACGTCGTTTAAGAAATCTGTGTGTAAACGATCTTTAAAGTCCGCGTTCATTAAGAAATCTAATTGTGAAAAGTTCAATAACTCTTCAACTTCCATTGCAAATTTTGTTTCATGCTTTTAAACTCCCATTAGAAACTTTATTCCATACTTTTGAATGATGTATATTATACGGTACTCCATGTTCTTAGGTAACATATTTAATTCGCGCTGAGATTTCCTTCCGTTGAGAAAGTAGAATTTAATAATGGATTGAATTTAGTAACGCTTCTGCAATTACTCGATCTATATTTTACAACTAATGTAACTTTCTAAGTAATGAATTTAAAACTTGCATTTTGATTCGGGTTTAAATTACTGCACGGAACTGGCAATTTTGTAGATAAAGTTGTATCGAAATTAATTAGTGTAAGTTGTGAGTTTTAGCGAAATCGGAAATTAATAGATTTTAAGGAAGTATGCATATAAATTAATGTGTAAAGTTAAATCAGTATTAATTACTATGATTAATGAATTTGGTTGAAGATAGAAATTAATAGTTCATTTTTAATGGAATCATTATTAATTGTAATAATTATGTATGTAAAAATTTGAAATTTCACAGACTTTCTCAATTTCCCATATTTTCCAAATTTCCCATTTTCCCAGTTTCCAACTTTCCAAATTTCCAATTTTCCCAGTTTCCAATTTTCCAATTTCCCAAGTTTCCCATCTCCCAAGTTTCCAATTTCTCAAGTTTCCAATTCCGCAAGTTTCCCATTTCCCAAGTTTCCCATTTCCCAAGTTTTTCACATTTCCCAAGTTTCCCATTTCCCAAGTTTCCCATTTCCCAAGTTTCCCATTTCCCAAGTTTCCCATTTCCCAAGTTTCCCATTTCCCAAGTTTCCCATTTCCCAAGTTTCCCATTTCCCAAGTTTCCCATTTCCCAAGTTTCCCATTTCCCAAGTTTCCCATTTCCCAAGTTTCCCATTTCCCAAGTTTCCCATTTCCCAAGTTTCCCATTTCCCAAGTTTCCCATTTCCCAAGTTTCCCATTTCCCAAGTTTCCCATTTCCCAAGTTTCCCATTTCCCAAGTTTCCCATTTCCCAAGTTTCCCATTTCCCAAGTTTCCCATTTCCCAAGTTTCCCATTTCCCAAGTTTCCCATTTCCCAAGTTTCCCATTTCCCAAGTTTCCCATTTCCCAAGTTTCCCATTTCCCAAGTTTCCCATTTCCCAAGTTTCCCATTTCCCAAGTTTCCCATTTCCCAAGTTTCCCATTTCCCAAGTTTCCCATTTCCCAAGTTTCCCATTTCTCAAGTTTCCAATTTCCCAAGTTTCCAATTTTCAAAATTTCCAATTTCCCCAGTTTCCAATTTCCCAAATTCCCAATTTTTAAAATTTCCAATTTCCCAAGTTTCCCATTTCCTAAATTTCCAATTTCTCAAGTTTCAAATTCCGCAAGTTTCCCATTTCCCAAGTTTCCAATTTTCAAAATTTCCAATTTCCCAAGTTTCCAATTTCTCAAGTTTCCAATTTCTCAAGTTTCCAATTTCCCAAGTTTTCTATTTCCCAAATTCCCAATTTTCCAATTTACTAATTTCCCAAATTATCCAATTTTCAACTCGCAAATTTCAAAACCACTAATTTCCGAAATTATCCAATTTTCAACTCGCAAATTTCAAAACCACTAATTTCCTAAATTTCCTAATTTCCAAATCCCAAATTTCAAAATCACTAATTTCCCAAATTATCCAATTTTCAACTCGCAAATTTCGAAACCACTAATTTCCTAAATTTCCTAATTTCCAAATCCCAAATTTCAAAACCACTAATTCCCCAAATTTCCTAATTTCCTTTTAAATACTTCTCTTCTCACAAAACTTCTTTCACAAACTATAAAAAAGCCAATATTCCTTAAAACAATTTATAAAACCCCCAAAATTCTTATCAAATTTACGACACAATTATTAAAAATGCGACAATATAAAAATATTATTAAAAATTAAGGAAATGCGACGAATATCATAATTGATTTACATTCCGTGACACTCGTTACATTCTAGAAATGCTTATCGAGTCACGGAATTTCAAAACGCAATATGTTTCAGCATTTCGACGAACCCGTTTTTATCAATACATCCATCTTCCTGCTCCCATGTAGGTTAATAGTTAATAGTTGCGTGTTGTTTCCACGACACACATCAATTTTCCTGCTCTTTGTTTCAGCTACTACCATGTATGTGAAGAACACACATTGTGTTTCTATGCACTGTGTTACAGTGAGAGATATTTTGAAAAAAAAAACATTCAATTTGCAAGATATTTTTGTTGCGAAGTGAGGTACTATTTAGTGATTTCTGAATAGACAATTTTCAAATTTACTAAATTGAAAATTTACTGATTTGAAAATTGAAAAAAATGAAAATTTATATGTTGGATGCTTGGAGATTTGGGGAAATGACGATTTGGGAAATTTAGAAATTTGGATATTTAGGAATTGTTGAAATTTTGGTTATTTGGGAAATTTGAAATTGGAGGTTAGAAAGTTAGAAAATTTTTAATTTTGGCCCTTGAAAATTTACCAATTTAGAAATTTGGGAAATTTGAAATTGGAGATCAGATAGTTAAAAAATTTGGAACTTGAGAATTTGAAAATTTGTCAATTTAGAAATTTGATTTGTATAAACATAGAAATTTGAAAATTTGAGAATTTGAAAAGAAGAAACTTGAAAATTTGCCTATTTAGAAAATTGGAAATTGGAAATGTGGAACTTGCAAAATATGGAGCTCGCGGATTTGAAAATTTGTTAATTTAAAAAAATAGAAAATGGAGTGGAGATTTGATGGATTTGTGAACTTAGAAATTTGAAAATTTGCAGAAGTAAAATTTGAGAATTTGAAAAGAAGAAACTTGAAAATTTGCCTATTTAGAAAATTGGAAATTGGAAATGTGGAACTTGCAAAATATGGAGCTTGCGGATTTGAAAATTTGTTAATTTAAAAAAATAGAAAATGGAGTGGAGATTTGATGGATTTGTGAACTTAGAAATTTGAAAATTTGCAGAAGTAAAATTTGAGAATTTGAAAAGAAGAAATTTGAAAATTTGCCTATTTAGAAAATTGGAAATTGGAAATGTGGAACTTGCAAAATATGGAGCTTGCGGATTTGAAAATTTGTTAATTTAAAAAAATAGAAAATGGAGTGGAGATTTGATGGATTTGTGAACTTAGAAATTTGAAAATTTGCAGAAGTAAAATTTGAGAATTTGAAAAGAAGAAATTTGAAAATTTGCCTATTTAGAAAATTGGAAATTGGAAATTTGGAACTTGCAAAATTTGAAGCTTGCGAATTTGAAACTTTGTTAATTTAGAAAATTAGAAAATAGCGTGGAGATTTGGTGGATTTGTGAACTTAGAAATTTGAAAATTTGAGAATTTTGAAAAAGAAGAAACTTGATAATTTGCCTATTTGGAAATTTGGATAATCAAAAATTGAAGACCTTGTATGTATTCAAATTTACGAATTTAGTAAATTTGAGAAATTTAGGTTATTAGGAGAATTTGATATTACAAATTATAATCTTGTAAACTTTGGAAAATTGTAAACCTTGCATTATGAAGATTTCTAAACTTCAAAATTTAAAAATTTAGCAATTAAAT